TCACCGGACTCCTCCCCCTTCCCTTCGTTAGCCGATGGAGCCACTTGGGGAAGGGGGAGGAGTCCGGTGACGTCGATGTCCGTGACGTAACCGGAACTCCGACGGCACTCTCGGAAGACCCTGAAGCCGGCTGAGAGGTGAGTACCGATCAAAATAATCGATTAATCGAGGGATTAATCGCTAATTTCCGCAGCCCTAATATATATATATATATATCAGGAAGTGACAAGATTTTCAAAGTGTTAAATGATCCTTATACAGTCAGTATATAGATGCCATGTGTGATATTGGTGCCATTTGGTAGCGCATGTAGTGCTGATTTAGACAGTTGAATTTTGCTAGATTTTGATAAAGGAAATGTGAAATGAGCCAGATACATAAGCTGGCATGGCTGATACAACGGCATTTTATTCTTAGATCATTAATTCTTAAATCATTTTGTTATATGATTTATATGATGCCGAAAAAACGAGCACATATAGAGGATTGGCGGGCTATGGAGCATTGGTCGGGTCTTTTCTGCCCGTGCGCGCCCGCGAGCAGAAAAAAAATGCCGTCTAGAGACGGCAACCCACAAATGCTGCAGTGTCGTCCGTCCGCCCGGGCGGACGGCAAGTGGTTAAGGGTCCATTCACACGAGGCCGATGCAGTATAGCACATTATGTGCATTGGTGTGCTGCGGTGGCATTGATTGTGAATGCACAGTGTCCTGTGCTGTGATAAAATGCGAACCGCACCTATTTTTTCATGCATTCATTGTGAATGGGCTGCTTAAGACGGTTTAATGTAACTCTTGAAAATGCGTGCCCTGCATCATACTGTGTTGTTGTGTAAAAGGGCCCTAAGGACTTTGAGAAGTCATCTTGTATGTGCTTAAGAGTTTTTAGGGACAGCTTTTTGTAGGAAGAATCTGGATAGTTTGATGTAGCTACTACTTTGTAATGGTAAAACCATTCCTACCCATAACCATAGTTTGGACAGTTTTGTACTTTCCTAATATAAACATTTTTACATTTATCTCTTGCTTGAGCTTGAAGCTGAATTCTAGGGAACACTTTCACTTTCCTTATTCCTCGCTCCCTCAGTAGCCAGCGCCCACCTCTTCACTCTGACACTCCTGTTGTGGACAGGCCTTTGGCATCCTCATTTACAATGCAGTATTGTATGTCCTGCAATGTAGAAGATAACGTCACAGCTGCAACTGCCAGAGCTCGCATGGAGGAACTTCTTGAAGCAAGGGATAAGGTCACCCTAAACAAGCAGAGTTTACCGTTATAACTTATAATGCTCTTTAGTGCTCATTTTCACAGCCGTAATATTTGTAAGATTTATTAATGGAGCCATGCCAGACAGACTGTTTTGTAGCAGCGATTCCTCACTGCTACAAATATCTAATGCCAGAGATTTGTAGCTAGCCAGTTATTTGTTGCATAGAAGCAATTTCTTGTATCATTAAGACAAACTTGTGCTACATCATTACATTAGCATTCATTGATGCAAATCACTCTCCTTTTGCAATTTGCAGCAAAAGGGGAATGCTGAGCGATTGTTGCTGGTGAGCTTGCTGCCGAGGTGAAATACTGCATAAGCTCAGTCACTGAGTGACTGAGCTACAAATCGCTATAAATTTATCAAGTTGGCAATTCCATAGAGAATACTAAGTTAGCAATTCCATAGAAAATATGAGAAATCGCTTAAAAGAAAGAAAGAAAAACAGCAGCTGCAAATAACGCACCCATCGGACATGGTCCTAAATAAAAGGTAGTTCTGTCCTTGTTGGACAATTATTTTTCACCTGTGTACACATGGAGCTCCTTAATACAAGGATAAAGGTAAACATGTCATGAGAGAGCTATGGGGGCTACTGATCTGCCTGCTTGCTATCTGTCATTTACTTAAAGAACTAAAGCAAGACGGTCCGTAAGATTGGCAGGCAACTAGCATTTGCAGAAGAAGTAGTCGGGCATTATGGTAGCGTCCATGATTTTCTCATCACATGACGAGGGAGCAAGGAGCTGGCCTCCCGGCCAATCAGACAGCAGGGCGTTGCATCATTACACTGCGCCCGGCTTTCCTGATTGGCCGGCCAGGCAGCTCCGGCTGTGTACCGGCGGAAGGCAGTGTTCTGGCTGGAGAGGCCCCGGGGGTGACAGGCTGGACATACCAAGGTAAGAGGGGACAGACTTTCTTGTTAATCGAGAAGCCGGGTGGCGAGTCATTACACGCCACCTGGCTTCCTGAATGGGACTTCCGTTACGCGGTAATTGGTATTGGCGAGTACCGAAACATTATCGGTACTCGGTACCAAAATACCGATATCGGTGCATCCCTAATATATACATACACGCATCATCTGTTTGCTTGTGCAGTGTGGCAGAATTACAAGTTCACAAATTAACGTAATCTAAAACATATTGATATAAATTTTGCCTGAAATTCCTTTGTAAATTTTTCCTTCCCTTATGGTAAAATATGAATTTTGCAAAGGACAGTATTCTAGTGCAGAGTTTGTTCAGTAATGTGGGTTAGTTAGCAGATCTTCATACTTTTTCAAGGTTTTGTAAATCTTTACAAAAAGAATATAATAATTTGCTGTACATTTTATGCCGACCAACTGCTTGGCTTTAGCTGATTTGTATGTTATGTTTCCACACAGGTTCTAAAACTAAAAGCTAGGCGTCTGTCGCCTGACATCAGACAGATTGACCTGGATGTTAACCGAACGTTTCGAGATAACATTATGTTTCGAGATCGATATGGAGTAAAGTAAGGAATGGTTTCAGAAGTTATTTTTTTTCCTCGTAGCTTAAGATCTATATAGAAGTGGCTTGCCTCATTTCAAATCCTGTTCTCTGTTATCTTTATATGTTCTAGGGTGTTTTAACAGAATATGACTATTGCAAGATAACAGTATCACAGCATTTAGTACAATTTTGAATGCCCCTTCTGCAGGAGATCAAGGCTACATGATTTCTATGCAGAACGGACATTGAATTCCGCATTCATTTACCAGAGAGAAAGAGTGGCAATAGCTGCATGTTTCTCAACTGCAGAGAGTCTTCAGAATTTCCCTGAATTATATCCATGTAGTTCTCCAGCTGAACTTGCCTCCAAAGTATCAATAATTTTTTTATTGATGTTTATTTCTTTCTCCTCTTGCGCTCCTTGGTTTAGGCATTGATGCAGGAAAGCCTTATGGTAGATACAGCCCTGTAGGAGATTACATAACTTATTGGCCACGTGAGCTGATCTTGTAGAGCTTTATTAAAGCTACCTAGTCATTATCAAATCTGTCCTCCTTGCATAACCATCAGGTACATCTGTACTTATTTGGCCAAATCTGCAGCATCTGATTACTCTGAACATGAACTAAATTCCTGTAGACCGCAATAGAAGTAGTGACTGGATGACTGTAGGCAAATGTGTCTGTTATATGATATTGTATTGCTGTCAACATTAGCATTTTCATCGATTGAGACAGGACCTAATGAAACTTTTATATATATATATATATGTATGTATTGCAGTAACCATTTGTGTCTAAATTTGGTATTGATAACTGATCGTAACTTGGGCTATCCCTAGTTTTTGGTATTTATTTTGTTGGAATCTAGAATTTAGTGCAGCCCAATTTTTTATATTTTACGTCAAATACTGTCACCTTTTGATAAAAATCTAGTCAGTTTGTTTGTCAATTATTAAAGGAAAGCTTCAGTTTAGGTTGAACACTTGACTGCTTCATACTCTTCCAAGGAGGAAGAAGGAAAACTCTTCTCCCGGAGCAGTTTTAGCAAGACTAGGTACATTTATTAAGTTTATCATCTCCCCTTATAAACTTGAAGATAGAGAAAAGTACCTGTGTAGTTGTCCCATTTGCCTGCTAAAGATGCAAGCTCCTATTCATTCATTAGAATACGTTGCTTTACTAATGCAAGGCAACACAGGTTCACTTTAAATCTGGCCCCCACAGCTGCTTATGCTCAGCTCCTCCTTCCTTTTGGTCTCTTGCCACTCTGGTCATCTGGAGAAGAGAAGCCACAAACCTGGTACTTTGGCGTATGGGGCAGGTTGTGATTCCATTTTCTCCCACCAGATGGCTCTGGTGCTTGGATTGGCTGGGTAGGGGTAGGCAACCTTGGCTCTCCAGCTGTGCTGAAACTACATATCCCATCATGCTTCTGCCTCCTGGGAGTCACGCCTGTGGCTTGCAATGCCTTATGGGATTTGTAGTTTCAGCACAGCTGAAGAGCCAAGGTTGCCTACCCCTGCCTAGGATGTGGAGAGAGCAACTTGCACAGGGCTTTGCCTCACTCCTGAGGGTGTAGGTAAGTATAAGCAGATGTAGTGGTCTGAATTAAAGTTACCTTGAGGTGCCCTTTAAGCGTTACTGCCTTGTAACAAATGTGGAAGTCATGGATTCTGATTTCTTGACCTGCGTACCTGCCTCCGGTTAACAACTCACAACTCGCAAATGTTTGATTGACTGGGCATCCGTATTAATATCCGGTGTGTTTAGAAGCCTTTATATTATATTCTGTGAGGGTAAAAAGGCAGTTTGTTTACATCCGTTTTCATATTTCAATAATGTTTGTGCCTTGCTTCCCTATACTTTCAAAGGGAAGGTAATAGCTGGTGATAGAACCATATAAATGTGTGTTTCTGTATGATATTTGTCATATTCAAGTGCTTTTCAGCAGAAGTGTTAGCATTGGATGTCTTCTAGGCTAAACGCTATTAAACAGGACCCTCAGTACTTCTATTGAATTTACATGCTTTTTCTTCTTTCTGCCTCTTGTTAGCTTGTTGATTAGAGCTGTGAAAGTGGCTTTTCAAAAATAAATTGCGATTATGACAGATTTTAGAAGCCATGTTTAAAGCAAATAGTCCAAAGTATTTTTCAAGGAACTAAAACTTCTCATATCTCCTTACAGACAGCAGGCTTTATTCCACGTATTGGCAGCATATTCATTGTATAACACGGTAAGTGGTACTGTGTGTACTCAGGAAATGATGACGTATTTTTCTTTAGATCAGAGAGTTTGAGTTTTTAAATAATAATAATGTCTGGTTAACCAGTATTAACTGACCTTTGCTTTATTTTCTTAACTGCACTCAAAAAACAATTGGACTCTGTTGTGACCTAAACATACTTTTTTTTTCTACTTATTAATAGCTCAAATTGACCTAAAAATCAAATGTTTTTAGCAACAGTCATATTCAAGCTGTTCTTTTTTTTTTTGATAACAGTCAAGAAGATGATAGTAAAATCGGCTTGGTTCTAGTGTGCAATATATAACTTTTGCTTAAAGTACTTAAGGGTTCAGTCATGAAGGTCTTTGCTTAGTATTAGATTTTATTTATATATATATATAAGGAAGACATAACAGTTACAATACAATTCAAGACAAGATGGTAAGGAGGGCCCTGCCACTGAGGGCTTACAATCTAAAAGAGGAGGGGGAAATGATACATGCGGTAGCTGTGGGAGGATATCTCCCTACTGGAGCCCCAAAATAAAAAGGAAAGCAATTGTTAAACTTTTAAATTTAGAGTGTGTAAAATAAAACTCTTTAGCCCATTCAAGCCAATCAGATTCCAGCTGCCCTTTTTTAAAGATTTAATACAAATTGTTCTTTTTAAGCTGTGTA